TGTGAACATCCATCGTAGTTCATTATCGATAACCAGGTCAAGGTCGTTCTTGCAATCGTACTTTTTTTTTTTTTTTTTTTTTTTTTTTTTTTTCATTTTCGCGAGACGAGTTTTAAATTGTTCTCAACATTCCTATGCGTAAGAACTCGGATTTTTTTCTTCTCGTAACTTAACACGGCGGACTTCTCGCGTCGTGAACTTCTCTCTCGCGTCGTCGTAATTACTTCCGACGTCGCCGCGATTCGTCCGCGGATAAGGATCGCCGCGATGCTAATTGACCCAGAAATAGCGTAATGCCGATAACGGTCGCGTAATTTTTCAGTTTATACGGGCTGAGAAAAGAATGCGCGCGCTTCGCAACCTTGTCGTGTTTTCGTCGCGTCGAAGCCGAACGTCGTCGTTTGCCAGCGTCCACCGTCGCGGAACGAGTCGTCGTTTAACGAGTCGAGTTACGGAATTGTTATTATAAGCAGCAAAAGAGAGAGAGAGAGAGAGAGAGAGAGATAGAGACAGAGCGTGCGCGCGATATGCGCTCAAAAAAGAAAGGAACAAAAAAGCGGTGCGCTCAAATGCGCCGTCGCGGGCACCGATACTCTCGTTCGGGCGATATCTATTTCACGCGCCGTTTGTCTATAATTATATTCTCCCTTTTGCATGCTATTAATTGTTGTCGATAACGAGTCGACGAGCGCAGCGCCTAACGCATCGTATCAGACCTCCGTTCCTATCCACGTGCGAGCCTCTGACTTCGTGTCGTTGACGACGACGACGACGACGGCGACGACGACGACGGCGCGCTAAACGATATTATCATTAATTGGAGCATGCAATTGGACCGTGTTACGCAACGCGGTAATCGCCGCGCCGGCAATCGTGACACTTTTTCTTTTTGCAAATTCGCAAAACTTGTACTCGTACAAACACCGAGAACGGGAGCGTGTTGTGATTTCTTTTTCTCTTTTGTTTTTGTTGGTTTTTTTTTCTTTTTTTTTTTATCCTTTTTATTTTATCAACTCGCCGACGTAATTCGCGCGCGCCGGTGTTGCGCGTTGCGCAAAATCGTTGCAATAATCGCACGGCGCGCGAAAACCCCCGCGACACTCGAAAGCGAAACGATATTCCGTCCAATTCTCTCCTCTTTCTCCCGCTGCAAGCAACGTTGCAGCCGATTATCTGTACCCGGCTCGCTTGACGCAACACGTCGTCGCGTTGTGAAAAAGATCCGAGGTGGTAGGGGAGGGGAAAGGGGGAAAGAGAAGAATCACATCGTCATCTCTCTCCGCGCGTGGACGCGCCCGTATCGCCGGCGCACACACCGCCGAATGCGGCGTTGCGGCCGCGTCGATTTTACACTTTGAAAGTTTCTAGGTCGACCCGTGCGCGCCGGCTTTCACTTTCTTTCGTTCCTTCTTCCGTTCTTTCCGCCAAGAGCATTCCGCCGCGACCGGCCCTTTTCGCTTTCGTTTGACCCATCCGTTTCTCACAGAGCGCAGTCGCGACAATTCTTATTCCACCTGCGGGGCACCGCACACATCGGAGATTCTTTTCCGCGCGCGTTCTGTTCGGCGCTAGAAAAAATTAATGCGGCGCGCCAACCGCGTTTGCGCGCGCGCGCGCGTGTGCGTGTGTGTGTGTAACACGCGTGCGTTCGTCGTTCGGTAGGTGCTCGCTTCCGATCGGCGCACCGGTCCAAACAAAAGACACACCGCCGTTTAGAAGCGCGGTTAAAACACAATGAGGAACGGAAGTTCGAGCTATATCGTGTTTTTTTTTCTTTTTCAGTCGCCTCTAGTTCGTCCAGTGCTTCCCTCTTTCCCGTTTGAATTGAACATTGTTACCAATGGTTTTTGTTTTTTTTTTTTGACAACAACAACACAACGCGACGCCGAACAAGTTGGAACAATTATTCGTCGGAACAATCGCGCGATATTGTACAACCGCGCGAAATAGATGGGGGAAATATTTTCATTCGGTTGAATGTTGTGTGAACGTTTAATTTTCACAAGCGAATGAGCGAGAAGCAACTTTTGAGATAAAAAAAAAAAAAATGGTTGCGACAACTCATTAATGTTGTTTTTACAAGAGAAGGAATTTACAGAATGTCGTTCCGATAGAGAGCGAGATGAAGCACGCGTGTGCTTTTTTTTTTCTTTCTTTAATCAAGACAAGATCGTTTTCGTCATCGATGATGAATCTCGGAAAGCGGCAGAGGAAATCACCCATTTCGCAACAACGGCGCCGTTTGTGGAATTAACGTTACGTTTTCAAAACCACACATTGTTGTTCATATTCCTTCGATACCCACATCCTCGCTTTTCCCCGAACGCTCTGTTTACTCCCCGACCCCGCTATGCAAATTTTTATATCAAGCTTCTCTCTCTCTACACGCTTGCATCGCTGTTGTGTGGTTATGGCTTGTGCGGAACGAAGCGGTGCAAAGGCCCCGGCCACCGAGGTTCGGCGGTATCATGTCTGTTTTGTTTTCAAGCGCTTATGTATGTATGTGTAAAAAGTTGTCGTAAAAACAAACCCCCCGTGTGCTTTCGTTTTTCGCGTGGCACGTATAGTTATTTTGGACGTGTCGTTGCGAGTATTTCTCTCGGATGTTGCGGAAGCTTTGACTTTTATTTTTTGGAGGGGAGGATGAAATCTTTTGTTTGTGAAATTGAATAAATCTCTCGAACAAACCGAAATTTTTGGTGCAACGCTGCGAAAATCCCTCATTTTCGTGTTAACATACAAAAGCGTTACAAATGTAAACGCTTTTAAATCTCGGAGAACCTGGTGCATTCGACGCGCGATGACAACAACGCGATCACACACACACACACACACACATCCGATCGGGATGTACCACGCGCGGCGTGCATTTATCTACGTACATATATGCACGTGTGTATTTCTGTACATGCATTTGCGTGTATATTACGGCAGAAACGCTCGACCGGTCAGTCGTGTATGTACGGGAAAGAGAGCGAGAGTGTCGATGAGAGTGAGAATAAATGAGCCGGGGGCGGGAGAAGGGAGGAAGTATGCGAGGAAGAGAGAAAGTGAGAGTGAGCGTGAATCAGGGTGAGAGAAACGACGGAGGAAGGATCAGAGAGAGAGAAAGAGAGAAAGACGCATCCGCGCGCGGCGGCGGCGGCGGCGGCGGCTTTTCGCGAAGTACCTACCGAGGTAAGAAAGGCTCGAGAGAAGACAAGGAGGAGATGAGGGGAAAGGGAGGGGAAAAACAAGAGAAAGACGCACGCACATCGGGAGAGGAAGACGGAACGCGTGGAGGTAAGGACAGGGTCTGCGAGTGAGACAGTACAGAACGACGCGAGAGGAAAATGGAGAGAGAGAGAGAGAGAGAGAGAGAGAGAGGAGTGCGAGGAGGAGAGAAAGAGAAGGTGGAGGAGGAGGAGAAGAGGAGGTAAAAGAGCGAGGAACGAGGATGGACGAACGAGAGGGAGTAAGACAGAGGTTGCGACAGAGACGGGGAGAGGTATGTGTAATGAGAGGGAGTGAGTCGTGGCTGCGTCATGTTCTCAACGAACTGGGTCAGTAGGTCTCCCCACCGCGGTTCACGTCGCACATCCACCGCTCGTATACACACAGGCGCGGGCACAGCGCTGGCTGTCGGGGAGTGCCAACGGCGTTGCTGTTGACCCAGCCGCGGTCTGTACGTGGCCCATGCGACGACGCTTACTCGTCGCGTTTTTTTTTTTTTTTATCCGACAAGATATCTCTTTTTCTCTTTCTTTTTCTTTCTCTCTCTCTCTCTTTCTTCTCGCGCACTTTGAAAGCAAAAGTCGCTTCTCCGGACGACGCGGTCTGTTTCGCGAGTGAGATATTCTCCCTCCCACCCCTCCTCTCCCGTCTCTCGTAAAAGCCTCTTTGTCCGAAAAAAGATTTCGGGCCTGCCCAGTACATTCACGGAATGCGTCTTACGTCATTCGCAGGACCGGTCGCTTTCTTCACCGGTGTTCGCGCCGGTGGTGTTGTATCTCCCGCGCGCGAACGCCACGTATAATATCTCTGACTGTGAGCCGCGAGAAAAATTCTCCTCTCTCTCTCTCTCGTTCTCGATCAAACAAAAATTCAAACGCTCGTGCGTGGATATTGTTCTGTTGTTGAAAATTTTGCTCCGAAAATTTGAGAATGCCCATAAGCGTGTTGTGTTGCGAGTGACGAAACACGTTTTTCTGTGACGGAACACATCGAAGAGAAACAGTAACTCTTATGCGCGACGACCAGGCAGCAAAACGACGGAGGCCGGCCGCGACAGAAACCGAGTCTCTCTCGCACGCTTACGGACAATATTTCTCCCGCCGACATAGACCTGGTTCCGTAAGTAGGTCATCCCCCGCCACCGGTCTCGCAACCTCCTTCTCGTCGACCCCTCCACCTTCGACCACGGCAATACTACCCCGCCCGCCTCCTCCCCACCGCAACCGCGTGCTACTCGGTCCCCCTTCCCGCCCGAACGGACCTCTCAAGCGGCACCTCCACTCTATGTCGGGTACCTGGCCGCGCGCAGTGGCATGCGCTGCTGATTCACTTTCACTTATGCCGTGCACTGTGTTGGTTATACTCCGCGCGCGCGTTTTGCTATCTCGCTCGCTCCAATCGTCGGCGTGTGTCGCTCTCTTTCTTTCTCTCTCTCTCTTCCTCCCTTCCTCCCTCCCTCCGTCTCTCTCTCTCTCTCTCTCTCTCTCTTTCTCTCTCTGGGCTCTCGTTGCCGTCGGTAAAGGGACACGCGCGCGCCTTCTCTATACCCACCGAAACGCCGTAGAAGTCTGACAGTAGTGCGCGCCTCGACTTCGTTCCTCGCGTACGGGGGTTTCGCCCAAATTTTCCGAAATCGTCGCTCGTGTCGTCGCCGCGATCGGATTATTATTCCTCCTCCGGGAGTTTTGCTTGAGCCCCGTTTCTCTCCGCAAAATCCGTGCGCGCGCGCGCGCGCGCTTACACACACACGACGACTTGGCACCGCGCCGTGTGCCGCACTTGCTGCACACGCGTTACTCGCACACGACGGGAGTGTGGCGGCATCCGTTTGTCCGTCGTCGTCGTCGTCGTCGTCGTTGTTGTTCGCTTCGCTTCGTGTTGGCTCACGCCGCCGCTTCTCCGAAACATCCACACGACGCTCTCCGGTGTGAAACATCTCTCGCTCTCGTGTACGCCGTTGGCGACATTGTTACCGTCATCGTGTATACGCGCGCGCTGGGATACGTCACGTTTTACGGTGTTCTCTCCGTAAAGACGGCCTCCCCGACAGTCCCTACCTACCTACCTACTACTACCTACCTATTCCATGTGGCAACGGTAGGGCGACGGAGGGGAGGGGGCGGGCCCTTCGGGAAAGCGAGCCGGGAAGACAAACTAGTCGTTAGTCGTACGCAGATAGGCGAGCTGTCGAGTCGTGTGTTTTCGACTTCGATTGGTTATTCGGTTGTGCGCGCCTCACTCCAAACGGAGGAGTTTTGTTAGTTCGCTTTTTCGTTGGTGTGCCTCAATTCAAGTTCCCAATAATCTTCAAGAGTCACGCGGTATGCGTGGTCGCAACGATCTCCCCGTTCCGTGCGCGTACACAATTACACGGATTAGGTCAAAGTAACCTCGCGCCTCTCGTACTGTTGTACAATTTACATACCGTGTGTGCGTGCGTGCGTGCGTGCGTGCGTGCGTGTATGTGTGTGGGACAGAGAGGCATCGGTAATCGCGTCGTCGCGCGTGTTTTCAGTTCATTCTGTCGGTGATATGTGGTGCGACGCGTGATCGCCGTTTCTCTCTCACCTGAGTGTGTTGTACGAGGGACGTAAATTGGCGCATTTAACGCGCAATTCTGCATTCGCCCCGGCGATAAAAAGGATTTGGATTACAGTGTGAGGAACAAGAAAGAGAGAAAGAGAGAGAGAGAGAGAGAGAGAGAGAAAGAAGAACGTTGGATCGTACGAATACAAGGGCGCTCTCGATGTTGTAATTAAGTGTGTTACATTGATTGCTCCAGTTTTTTTTTTTTTTTTTTTTTTGTTTTTTTCGATCGAAAGTGGCAAACATCTCGCACGGATATCGACAATTATCGCTACCATGTTTCGGACGTAGCCCCGTCGACGCTTCCGGCAAAAGTTCACGCATACAACACGCCTGTGCGCATACGTTGTCGAGTGGTGCGCGATGGTTTTTCTCGCCGTACGTGTGTAAAATACACCGGGCGAGAAAAAAAAAGGAACGTAACTTGGTGATGTATTGTGCCGCGAAAAAAAACGGAGTCGTCAAAGATTACAATAACATGTGCGTTCTCTCTCCTCCTCCTCTTCCTCCCCCGTGTGTATAACCGGGAAAAGTTGTTGCTTCTCTCTATCATCCTAAATTGTGTCAATCGCGCGCGCGGGCCCGTCTTTGTTGTCATCGCACGTCGACTGGTGCACCAGGTTTCGGTGAACACAAACTGGCGCGCGCTGTTGCCAGTTTCGCAGCGCGCCAGTGAGATCTGTGGACTTGAGAGCATTCCCCGTGTGCTTTAAACGGATCGAGAGAGTCGCGACAACTTGTGTGTATGTGTGCGTGTGTGTGTGCGTGTATGTTGTCGCGAACGTGACAAAACACCACCGCGCGAGTATATATTCGGTATATATTATTTAATACTCGATAGATCGTTCGCGACACATCGTTTCCGACGTCGCGAAAAAGTAAATACTCCTCTTCCACGGCCCCCTCCCCGGCGAGAAAAATGTCCCCCGCAAAGAAATCGAAAAGATATTTGCGAGAGAAAAATTGAGAGAAACGAAAAATCAAATGCCGTGGTCGCTACAGCCGCAGCATCCGAGAGAATAGTCGGTTCCGTATATGTGTCGATACGCGAACACGTCCGTCCATCGTGGGGTGCTTCTCGCGCAAGGGTGATATGTTATTGGAGATGGAGCAACATTCGGGCTTGATGTCTTTGAACATGTCACCGTTCCACTTGAGTCCGCAAGGCAGCCCGCCGCAACCCGCCGGTCAGCAACCACCCCAACAGCAACCGCATTACGCCTCGTCGCCTTATGGCAATTGCGCGCAGAGCTCGCCATCGGCTATGTGCCACCAACCGCGACCTCAGTCGCAACAGCAGCAGCAGCAACAGCAACAGCAGCAGCAACAACAACAACAACAGCAACAACAACAAATGTCCGTTCACGGACAAACCGCACAGGGCGGTATGTCCGCCTTCGAGAACACTTTCTTCGATTCCACCGTTTCCCTGGAAGACCACCGATGTCCCATGTGCGGTCATAAATTTGTGGCGAGTTATCAGTACGAACTGATCACATGTGAGAACTGTAAAGGATTCTTCAAGCGCAACAACTCGCCGCTCGGTAATAAAAAGAGCTACACGTGTCTTTTCTCCCCTACGGGGGGTGGAAGCGGCGGCGGTAGTGGTGGTGGCGGTGGTAGTGGTGGTGGAGGCGGCAGCGGTGGTGGTGGTGGTGGTGGCAACGGTGGTGGCGGCGGCGGCGGCGGCGGCGGCGGCGGCAATAACGGTGGATCCTCAGCGCTTGAGATTTGCTCCAACAAAAAGGTGTACACGTGTTTGTTCCCGCCAACAGGAGGAGCAGGAAGCGGTAACGGCGCCTGCGGTGGCTCGTCCACTGGTATGGAAGGTAACAGCGGAGGCGGTTACACCGGCAACAACGGCGGAGCCGCCGGTACTGCCAGCAATGGTGGTCCAGGCGCGAATAACGCCGGTGTCGGCGGTGGAGGCGGTGGCGGCGGGCCCGGCACCGCAACAGGAAGCGGCAACGTCGCCGGCGCGGTTCCGGCCGGCGGCGGTGCACTTTGCCATCCCGGACTGGGCCAGGTTGGCGTCGTGACCGGGTCTATACCTTGTCCGTCCGATTTCCCGGACACCAAGGACATCGTCATCGAGGAGTTGTGTCCGGTTTGCGGCGACAAAGTGTCCGGCTATCACTACGGTTTACTCACGTGCGAGTCCTGCAAGGGGTTTTTCAAGCGCACCGTCCAGAACAAGAAGGTCTACACGTGCGTCGCCGAGAAGTCCTGCCATATTGACAAAACGCAGCGAAAACGGTGTCCTTACTGCCGCTTCCAGAAATGTCTCAACGTTGGCATGAAGCTTGAGGGTGAGTTTCTTTTTAGTTTCATACATACATACACATAAGTAATGAGACAATATGTAAGTAACGAAAACATCAAAAACGCGAAAATAAATTCACTTGCAACCTTTTTAAAGTATATTTGTTAAAATACAATTTTCGACTATAAGCATGGTAATGTCAACGACAATATTTGAAGATTTGAAAAGTACAGTCTCTCCTATAGATAAATTAAAAACATTCATTAACTAAAGAGAAAGACAGTAGAATTACTGATAATCATCTAGCTCATGATTATCAACTCACGAGTAGATTTTTATCAACAGATGCCTGTACGATAAAGAGTAATGTTTCACGTTACTCGCACAATTCGAGAAGACAAAATTCAACTGATACACAAATGCGTGTGTAAAATATTTATAACGGCAAGAAACTATCTCAATCTTTTAACTTCATTTTATGTAACCACTTTCAATAAAAAAAAAAAGTGCTATACAAACTTTTTTTTAACGATAACATTAGTGTTCCAATCAGTAAATTATATTACGAAAACGTAGTTATTGTCGGCATCGCAGTTTTTGATAATAAATTAATGTTTTATATATATATATATATATATATATATATATATCATATATATATATCTGATAAAGCGCGCGCGAATCCACAATGAATCACATGTTCCAAGAGACGTGGAGTAAATCAAAGTAAATTAGCTGCAGAAAAATTCTTATCAAGATTCTCGTTCAATTTTTATAGCGACAAAGTTCATTTCGGGCGCCACATAAAACTCCATTAAATTGCACCTCGTTGTATACAACACGTTCAACTTACAACATGTATATCCGCGGTATAAGTTAAGATAGTTTTTCTCTATTCACACGCGCGGGGTGTATAATAAGCGAACGAATATATCCGCAATATATCGGATATATATAAAAATACATAATCTACCAATTCTCCGCATTACGTACGTAATCGTGCGTAATTTATCGATCGCATCGCTTTAGTCTGAATAATTTCGCGTCTTACTTTCACCGTGTGCCGGATTTTTCAAACCGCGGTCGATACGCGGTTTGGTGTCGTCGCGTTATTATCATCAAGTTTTTATGTTTATCTCTCATTGAATATTTCTTTGCGTGTTTCTTGCCGCGTTGCTAAACCGAACGTACATACGATCAAAAGTAATCGTTTATGCACGAGGTGGTGCAGCAAGCGCGGGTGTACGCGTCGCCGCGGCTTCGTCGTCGTCGTCGTCATCGTCATCATCGTCGTCGTCGTCGTCGTCGTCGGTTCTCGTCGACCGTTGTTCGGGCGTTTTCGCACCACGCTCGTACGAACTTAACCTTATTACTCTGTGGAAGCGATTAACCGAGTCTCACCGGCTTGTGTTCTCTTTCGCCGTTTTAAAGCTCGGGGACGTGTGCGCTCGATGGCGAGTGATGGCACGTATATCTTTTATAGCCGCGAATCGATCGAGAGAGAGAGTGAGAGAGAGTGAAGCGCGCGCGCGCTCGCCTCTTCCTCACGATATTTGAGTCAGCGTGGAACGGTCGTTACTACATGACGAACAAATGAAATTACATCATAGCTGGCACTAGTAACACAATTACGCGCCATTATCCACGCGTTTACGTTCGACCTCGTTTAAGTGCCGTGCCGACAACTCCTTTCTTATTAACAAACGGTTTTATAAACTTTATTAGCATAGGTAATACATGAAGAGTGTCTTCAACAGTAAATTGATTCGCGCCGGATAGGTAGATGTTCTACGAACTTTTCTCTCTCTCTCTCTCTCGCTTTCTTTAATCAAGTTATTATTACTTTGAATACATCTGACGTTGACATATTTTTCTGATTATCTTAATACGGACGATAAATTGTATATGTGGGGAGATGGGATGAAGGGGAATAAAAAAAATAAGGGGACTGAAATATTTAATATATCGAATTGCGGTTGTACGTGTCGTCATATGTTGAAACGTAATTAAATGTTCTCTTTATTCGCGTTTGATCGATATTCCAATTTTGACCGCGCGTTGCAGCGGTCGCAATTGCATCGTGTGTGTTTCCTGAAAACGGCGCGGAGAGTTTCGGAGTCTTCTCTCGCTTCTGAAAACACAAGTTTGACGTTGTAGCGCGTCTATAATGCAATCCGAGTAACTGGGTCTAGGCCCTCAAGGCCCAACGATTAACGCGAATCTCGAAACAGTCTCTGTCGCAATTGCCGCCTTTGCAAACCGTTTTCCGCGGCGTTCCTGCAGCGGCTAAGAGAACCAAGGGGGAGATTGCTTAACGCGGAAAGTTTCCAGAGTGCTTGCGAATGTTTACGAAAGGAAGAGAAGAGGGGTTTCTTTACCTGTTCTAAGCCGCGCGTTCGCAAAACGTAAGGGAAAAAAATCATCTGCGATCGAAGAATTGCAAACGCGCGGTCAAAATTAACAATACGACCGTGATTTTCTGTCGTTGACATTTTGATGAGCGAAAAAGAAAACCAAAAAAAAAAAAAAAAAAAAAACGGGAAAAGAAGCAAGAGTTATTTTTTTTTACAAGTTCTTTCATTTCAATTACTTCATCATTCCACGTACACAGGCGCAAAAAACGTTTGAATAAAAAATCGGGACGAAAGATAAAAGATAGGAATTGCCTCGATATAAAATTCGAGGATCGAATCACCTTAGCAAAATGCGCCCTTGATATGTGCTCGCTAAAAAATTTGTAACAAGTATCAAACGGGCGATGTGTGCGTGCGATGTCTATGAAAAGTAAATGAGCCGAAACGAACGAACGAGTAATGTTGATTCCGCGGAAAAGAGAAAGTATTGATAAGATTGTGAATTCGGATAGTAATCGGGGGGGGGGGGGACTTGTTAAAAGCGGATAATATAAGCCGCAATTTTTTAACACATAGACGCTGTGCGATGCGAAATGTACAAAAAAAAAAAAAAAAAAACAAACAAACAAACAAACATTACATCGTTATCAGTTTCTACTTGCGAGTCGCTATTGTTTCCGATATTTCTCGAGTTTTCTCATCGACGTTCTCTTTATTCGTCAAACGTTCAATTTCATTGAATCCTCCCGTTCTCATTGAACATTTCGACAAAATTTCAATCGAGTCGACGAAAAAAAAAAACTCGCTTCCACGAGTAATTTGCGATGCAATCGAAATCGTAATCATTGAAAAAAAAAAAAAGTAAACGCGATGAGACGCGAAAAGAGCGCGGGCGACACTTGTGGTAATCGCGTGATAACACCTGTCACAGATCTGTGAACTCGCCTTTTTTTAACGACAACGCGTCGACGAATATATGTAGTAGGAGTTGGGCTCTCCGACATTATTCAACGCGTCGCGAGAAACGCGTACGCGCTTTTGCGCAATTAACAAGCACACACACACACACACACGTTTCGTGCGTACAATTAAGTTTCAACTCGCTCGGATTTCAGTTTCGCGCAGGTGCAATTTAACCGCTGTTTGAGCAAACTCGTCTATATATATATATATATATATATATATATATATTTTTTTCTTCCGATATTTTTGT